GGGGTTAACCCACTCCACCCTGAAGGTCTACGTGGCAGCTATAGCGGCCTACCACGCCCCCGTTGATGGTCACTCGGTGGGCAAGGACCTTCTGGTTACACGTTTCCTTCACGGTGTGATGAGGCTGAGGCCTCAGGTACGATCTCGTGTCCCTCCTTGGGACCTCGCTGTGGTGTTAGAAGCTCTCTGTAGGCCTCCCTTTGAGCCTATCGAGGAGATATCAGATCGTCTTCTTACATTAAAGACTGTGTTTCTCTTAGCTGTATCTTCTCTAAAGAGAGTTGGGGATCTGCAGGCCCTTTCTGTGGCTCCTTCCTATCTCGACTTTGCGCCCGGTCTGGCCAAAGCTTTTTTATACCCTTGGGCGGGGTATGTCCTGAAGGTCCCCTCCTCTACACCACGGCCTGTCGTACTCCAGGCTTTTTATCATCCTCCCTTTAGGGAGCCCGACCAGCAGAGACTTAATTGTATGTGTCCAGTGCGAGCACTGGACACTTACGTCCACAGAGCTGCCCGGTAGAGAAAGGCAGACCAACTGCTTGTGTGCTATGGTCCCCCTAAGAGAGGTCATCCTGCTTCCAAGCAGACCCTCAGCCGGAGGATAGTTAATGCCATTACTGTTGCCTATGAGTCCTCTGATCTCCCCTCACCATTGGGGGTCAAGGCTCACTCGACAAGAAGTGTGGCGGCCTCCAAGGCCTTTCTCTGAGGGAACGTGATGCTGCGTCGCAAGGCCATACTTCCGGCATCCCTACTAGAGCTTGCTTCACTCCTAAGAAGCTAGCGCCGGCTGCACCTCACTGGTCATGACGTCACCTGCCGCGGACGTTTTGCCCATCGTTCGACTGATTACACATATGATTCAGAGCTTGGTATCGCTGAAGGCGTTCCCCTAGCGTTTTCCGATGCAGCGTCTGTTCCCGAAGGGGAACGTCCCAGGTTACGTATGTAACCATGGTTCCCCGAGGGAACGAGACGCTGCATCGGAAAACGCTAGGGGAACGCCTTCAGCGATACCAAGCTCTGAATCATATGTGTAATCAGTCGAACGATGGGCGAGACGTCCGCGGCGGG